ACACAGCAACATCACTGTTTTATTAAACACAGTAAACCAAGTGAAAAACTCAAAGCTGGGAGAGACAAAGAGAGAAACAACACTCTGTCGGCCTGCAGCTATAAAACTTCCATTATTGAAGAATGGAAAATGTCAGAGTTTGTTAGGTCTGAGGCTGTACAGTGACCTCACCTATCTGGTCCTTCCTGGGACTCAGTAGACCTCCATATAAAGACTAGAACACAACATTCCACTCAGACGGTCCCCACAGAGCTGCCCTGTCTCATGGTCCCCTTTGTGTCCGTGCACACTGTGTGTTTGACTGTTCCTTTGGTCCCTGACCCGGATTTGAACCTTCGCCACTGTTCAAACAGAAAACCTGTGAACTGCTGTTGACATGAGATCCTATTTAATCTCTGAGCAGCAGACGTCTGTGAATGTAGAGTCAATATTTCACCTTTTGTTTTGCCAAACTAATCCTCTGTTTCCTTGTGCTGCAATTAAACAGTTTCCCCTTCAGGCATCAATTCACTTCATCTCATCTTCATCTGTTTCTAGTTCTGTAGTCACTGCAGCCGTGGATGACTCTGCTGCCGGTGGAACGTCTCGCCATAATTAGGTTTAGAAAATAGTGAAAACTGTTCTTCACAAGATCCCAGAGCCTCGACGACGTCTTCAAAAACACAAAGATATTAAAATGGAAACGCAGAAAATCCTCACATTCCACAAAGTGGAATAAGCGAATATTTTGACATTCCTGCCTAATAAACGGATACGCAGCTTTTATAAAGGATTCATAAGTTCTCAGCCATCACTAAGCAACATATAGTTGAAGAGAACACTGTTAGATATCTTAATAATTTGTCTAATTTGTCCAGCAACACATGTCAATCTCAGCTCGTTTCATGCATAAAACCTTTTCAAAATAAACCTCCGTCTACACAGGAAATACTTGGGCTTACTTAGATGCAGAAGTTACGTGACAAATAAATCAACGTTGACGTCTTGATTCACTTGGGGAACGATCAGCTGTCTCCTGACGGAAAGATTGCTTTTTGTTTGGCCCCCCCCCCCCTTTAGTTACAGCTACATGCAGCCTCCGGGGGGCCAGTGTGTGAAAAGTCTTTGACTGGTTAAGCCTCGGTTATAACTCCAAACGTCGTATCCTTTGGCACATCTAATGCAGGTGCAGCTTCGGGCTTTCTTCGCCACATTTCTTCGTTTGTATCCTCTGGCTCCAATAAATGAATACGTGAATATACGGGTCAGCAAAAACACTGTAAGACGTATCCTCGTCAAGAACAGCCTCTGCAGTACATTCTTTAGGACGCCAATTCCGCAGTTTGCAATACAAGTGAAGTGAACAAGGAAGTTCTGCTTTTAGATTTCTACTTTATTTGAACAATGGAACCCAGAAACAGGGACTAGAATCTGAGCTGAAGCGGTCTGTAGGTCTTCCTGTCTCCAACGACGTCACTTTAATGTCAAATTTCGGCACTGAGTACAAGAAGAACAGATGTAGCAGCAGTAAACTCATCTCTCTGGGTCATTATAGCATTATAGCGAGGGGTTTATTGCTTCAAACTACTACATTTATTATCACATAGACACCCACATAAAAGGTGGTAAAATATCCCTTTATGTTCTTTAAACGTCAATCTTTTGAGTTTGTATTTTTTTAAAAGCTAAACCAAAAAAGATTCTAATTCAATAGACAACTCGGGACAGGATTTAGACCTTATCAGCTCGTCTACCTCGTCAGTTCCAGGTCATAACTGCACAGAGCCGGTCAAGTTATTCTGTTTATTTGATGCTCCCCAGACCTCAGCCTGTCACGGTGACTTCGGGGCCACGTTGCCGCAGAACGAGATCGAGGACGGCCTGGGCACTTTGACAGGACGTCTCTCTCTCTGACTGACACTTCCTCAGCGGTGTTGTGAAAACCTTTCTTTTCACTCGAGTCATCAGAGTCCACTGTGACTGACACGGCACACAACGAGCGGCAACAAGCAGCGTCGCTACGCATCAGAGCATCCGAACCGAGGAGCAACTCCATGTCTTCTGCCAATCGTTGCTCCTGAGCTGACGACCTCCAACACGGCCGTGAGAGCGAGTTTTAGTCCTATTTAGTAGCTGAATATCAGTGAAGATTGGGTTGAAAATAAAACAAGTACAAAACACCTTTTAACACTTCATAGGGAATGTTTTGTTTGCGCACAAACGTACCGAAAAGTCGACCTTTTTCAAAGAGATTATTGCACATTTGAATCCGTGCATCATAGCTCTGTTAGCACAAACCTCCAGGACACACACACACACACACACACAGATACAGTAGCAGGGTGTTAGCAGCACTCACCACTAGTTGGCGCAGCAGTAGTTAAGTGAATGCAATGAGGGTAGCAGACTGTGAAGAGAAGGACAGATTAGTCAGAACAAAGCATCAGAGAAACACAGTAACGTGTTCAGAGACATCACAGTAACGAGAGGTCGAGTAGTTAATGATGGCTGATAACAGGAGACTTGTTAATTACACAGGAAACAGCTGAGGTCTGGCAACAGACAACTACACCACGGATTAATAATGAAGGCACGAGCAGTCATCCAGAGGTCATGAGACGAGCACAACATAAAGGTTGCCTGAAGGTCCAGGAATTAGACGGATCCCCCAAAAAACACATCGTCATACAAACTGAGAACGTTTATTTCTCTCTCGGTAACCTCGTGTTTTCAGGTAGAAAGTAAATATACTGTATTTATACAAGATTATTATATATAACAATGTTATCGAAGCTAACAAAGTCAGGATTTATTAAGGAGGAGTTACATTCCACTTTTAACTATACGTATTGTTTTAGTACTTTTAGAATCAACGGGTTTTATTTCACTTTTATAAGACCAATGACTTGATGAAACAATCTATACCTGCAGGGTTAGGCTCAGTTATACATTATATTTAGACATTTACATCCTAATCATATGTATTTTATCTCATAAGATAAATATTATGTAACTTGTACATATTATCATCAATCTCAAGTATTGTTTTCACTGACAAATTAACAAAAATGTAATGTACAGAAAGTACAAATAATATTAAAAAAAGATATATGAAATAAACGAATAATTCTTTTTGTTCTTCTTTCTTCATCAAACAATCCTGACTCTGACACTGAGTTGATTAAAAGATAAACGAGGAACAGTTTAATGAGTTTTATTATTTAACAACATATTTTACAGTCAAAACCAACATTTGTAACGTTTCTTCTGTTTTTAACTATAACTTTCACCCACTGCAGCTGTGAAAAGGCACAACTGCACTAAAACAAATAATAATGATTGTGTGTTCACCTTTGTTATCACTTTGAAATAAGATTAGTTTGAAAGCAGTTCTCTTAAAGCTGCTCATCACTACGTTCCTGTTTGACTAAACTGTGGTGTTGGACTTCAGATTTTACAGATAGAATATAAAAATATACTGAATGTTTGTATGTTGTTCACATCATCGAAAACCAAACTCAAACTGTTATTTCATGTTTCATCTCATTCTCTTTTGTCTTGTCTTGTTCTAGTAATTCACAGCTTCAGCTGACTTTGTTATTATCGATGTCATGTTGTTTGGATTTGTTTGCATAATTGGATCAGATCATAAAGTGTTTCAGAGCTGACATGAAGGAATTCATTCATACGTTGGTTCACTGCAGCGAACATGACAAGTAGAGTACAGACACGCAGGAGTCAACTCCCCCTCTGTGGGCCTTTTACTGTGTGTGTGTGTGTGTGTGTGTAAGAAAAAGAGAGGGAGTGTGTGTGTGAGAGAGAGAGAGAGAGAGAGAGTGTGTGTGAGAGAGAGTGTGCGTGTGCATAAAAGAGAGTCAGGAAGCTTTGTGCAAAATCATGCATTTTCTTGAAAACCACTGCAGGTCTCCAAGGCATACAAGCATGCACTAGCACACACACTCACTAACCCACTGACACACACACTAGCACACACACGGAGAGGCCCGTTCTCCAGCGGGTACATACAGCGTTGGCAGGAATTTCAGTGAAACCGCTGTGGTTAACCTCCACACACACTACACACTCATTTACAGCTTTAAAGAAGAGGCAGAGTACCACTCAGTGGACGCACACACACACTCTCTCTCACACACACACACACACACACACACACACACACACACACACACACAC